TTCTGTAAGTATGCAATGAGGGATAACTCTTACCCACCACTTCTATGTACTCCATTAACCCAGCCACACACACCACCACTGTCGTCTATGCTACGGTTCAATAAAAATGTCTGGGTAGAGTTTGGAGACACAGAAGTTAGAGTCGTTGAGGGAGGAGATCGGTAGACTTTGCTTTTCTTTTTTTCAAGCGGGCTGGGCATTTTTCTCGCTTATGACGCTTACATCAAGGAGTAAGCTTTTGGTTGGGTGGGATTGAATTCAAAATTTTGGGCAATATTCAATTCAAAAAATTTGGGCGGTATCAAGAAACATAATTTTTTTTTTTAATCTTAGGCGGGATGGAGGCCAGAATTACGGGTGGGAATACTTTTTCTGCAGCTACCCTTAAGATCCGAAAATGAAAGAGGTCAAACATGGTCTTGCAACCAATAAGATCCGAACACGTCACGAGCTCACCCCCCAAAACTTACGATCATAAATTCCGCACACTTCTATATAAATCTACACGGCCTTTTTGCTAAGGCGCAAAGATTTGCAATATTTATCTTATTAATTATCTCTCTAGGGTTTTATCGCCGCCTCTTTAATCATGGCTCGCCGTAGCTCTGGTGGTGAGTTTTTCGTTTTCTTTCTTCATTTTCCGTCAATATATCAAGATATTTTCAGATCTAAATGTTTTATTTGGGTTTTACTCTTTTTACCTGTTTTTGTTTAATTTCGAAGATACTTGTTTGTTTTTTCATTTTGTCTGACTGAATATAGACAAATATTACTTTCAGCTGGTGCCAATATGCCCAGGTTTTTTCTCACTTCCTTTATTGGGGAAAAACCGGGTCCAGGGTTTTGAATGATTTTGCTTGGCATAGGATTTAATCGATCCTCGCTATGAACTGCTAATGCTTTGGATTTATGTAAGATTCAAATTAATGTGCATCAGAGCCTTATTTTTCAGGGATGCTGCCAATTTGATTATTTTAAGAGCTAAATGCCCAATCTGTATATTGGTCATTTTGTATTTGTATGAGTAGACTTTCACTAGATATCGTTGTCATTATCTTATACCTGATTCACTTTATGAACAAGACTTGGGAGTTTACTGTTACGTTTAAGTTGTCATGGTATTGTTTAATTTTTTTCTCTTGTTGCTGTGCCA